GGGGGCCCCACCAGGGCGGCCACCGAGGCTCCCCAGGCTCTGGATCCCGGTGCGGTCTCGGGGCCGAGCCGCGGGAGGCCGGCTGCATCCCGGGCCAGACGCCAGTGGGGGCTCCGCGAGCAGGCGCCGCCACCCTGGACGTCCCCGTCCCCGCCTGTGCCTAGTGGCTTCTGCCTCTGATGACGCTTTGTGAAAGGCTTTCCTACCGGGAGATGGCGGGCGTGTTCACACAGTTTTTCTAGTATTTTCTTTGCTTTTCCTTTAACGTGTTAGTCCACTGGGATTCATTTCAGTGTGTTTTTTCCCAGACGGACACCATATCTCATCAGTTCTAAGATGCGCATTTTAACAGCTCTCAGGGTAGAGCTCCAGGTCAGAGGGCGGCAAACCTTTCCCGTGAAGGGCCAGGTGGGAGCCGTCTGTGGCTTTCGGGACTCACAGTATCTGTTGAAACCGCTCTGCCATTGTCCTGAGACATCCGCGCCAACGGTCAGTCGATGAGCGGCTGCGGCTTTCCAACAGAATGTTATCTTTGAATCCTGAAATCTGAACTCGTGTGATTTTCATGCATCACAAAAATATTCTTTTTTTGATGTTTTTCTCATCATTTAAAATGTCAGAGCCAGTCTAGCATGTGGCTGGGCGTGTCCAGAGGGCAGTGCTGTGCTGTCCAGTCTGGGCCGTTCTGCAAGTCCTGTGAGACCTTCCGACACCTTGACCAGCGGGACCCAGGGTTCACAGAGTGCACGGAAAGCAACACCCCGCGGCCCCCGCTGGGCCCTTGCCTGAGGACTTCACTCATCTCTTCAGGCTCAGCTCAGGCCACCTCCTCCAGGAAGCCCTCCCTGATGATCTCCCAGGAGGGTCAGAGCCTCCCGGGACTAGCTCTGCCTGACTCCATGTTCTAGCTCTAAACCCTGCCCCCCAATACCAACAGTGAGGCCTGCGTGCATGTGTGCACGTGAGTGTACATGCGCATGTGTCTGCGTGCATGTGTGTAGTCATGTGCACATATGTTTGCATGTGCACGCGTGTGCATGCGTGTGCATTCATACAGCTATACGTGCTGCTGGCAGGTGAGTGGGGAAGCAGGCGCCCGCTGGCACAGGTAGGGGAGAGGGAGGCCGGGCCTCGCAGACCCCACCGTCCCACAGACACTGTGGCTGTCGTTTCCCAGCGGTTTCCAGCCAGCCTAATGCCCCAGCCTGCCGGCGAGGCTCCCCTCTGCAAACGTGCGTGGGGGGCTGATTTCACGGCAGCAGGGCCTGGGCGCGCTTCCCCGTCACTGGGGTGATCGTGGACACTGGGAGAAACCGAGGGCAGGGATGGTGCCAAGGCCTCGCCCCCGTGGGCTGAGCACCGAGGCAGGGTCCTCTCTCCACGGCTCTGCCGGGGCCTGCACCCCTCCCTCGCCCACCCGTGGGTCCCTCCACACCATGGCCGCAGTTCCCAGTCTGCCCTGCTTCCCAATCTGCTGCAGGATGGCCACAAGTTCCAGAAGGTTCTGGGGTACAGACAGGCAGGACCCCCCGGCCTGGTGATGCCCAGGGTGAGCTTTCAGACGTGGCCTGGCCCCGGGGAGCGTGGGCGGCCCCCGGGCTGGCCGGCTGGCCGCACCGCAGGACAGGGGCGGTGACGGCTGAGGACCGAGGCAGACCAGACGCAGCGAGCGCTGCCCCGAGACGTGCCGGGAGCCACTGAGGCCGGGCACCAGCCCCCTTTCAGCCAGACCAGGGCAGAGACCACGGTGTCTCCTCTGGGCCAGATTTAACCACACGACCCTGTTAAACGTCCCAGGCGAATAACAAACTGGGAAATGAAATCCACGGCCCACGAAACGAAGGCTCCACCTCTCTCCTACACAGAGTTTGTACAAACCGGCGAGAAATCCTCGAACCGTCCAAAACAGGCAAAGTGTGGGATGGGTCAGCCGCGACAGAAACACAAATAGGAACAGGTGACAAAGTAAGTCTGTCCTGCTAACGCCCCGCCACACGCAAACGAAACCCAGACTCCGCCCACACGTCCCTCGGACGACCGTGGCTCACACCGACGGCAGCACACGCGCCGGGGAGAGGCCGCCTGGCTGGGGCCGTGACCTTGTCCTCCACTCGCTGTCGGGTGCGGCTGTGCCCCAGACCGCGGCCCATCGGCACACGGGCGACTTCTCTGCCGCGAGTTAGAGTCGCACGGCGCTCACGGGCTGCTCTACCCCAGCGAGGCCGTCGCAGGCGCCTCCCAGACGCTCTCCCTGGCTGGGGCGACTCCCTCCGACCTCTGTCCCGTTAACCTTTTAACCAAGAGGAAAGCACAGAGCGGCCCACTTTGGTGCCACAGTCCCGGTGGCTCTTGAGCCCTGAGGGTTAAAAGTTCCTGCCAAAGGTGAAAGGTCAGCTTTCAGAACCCTGAGACAACTTCAAACAAGTGGCCCTTGTCTGGGGAATAATTAACTTTCTGTCCCCGTGGCCTCGACCCGTCGGCACACACAGGGCCGCTGTCTGGCTGGGGGCAGGGGCGTCCCAGCTGCAGAGTGGCCTGAAGGTCAGCATTGGCTTGAAGGTCAGCATTCGGGGGCTCGTGAGTCAGCGCCAGGGGAGGGCACCCACGCGGCTGCTCCGGGGCTGGGATTCCAGGAAGTGCGGGGACTCTGGGCCCCGAGAAAGACCCCAGCTGGGCTCAGAGCCCTCCGGCCCCAGACCCTGTGAGACGAAGGCCCCCCACGGGGACGTGGCGGGGTCACGGCGCACCCCTGGAGGGATTCCACCCTTGTGCACACAGGCCTCGGGCCGCCGTCCCATCTGTTAAGGACAACGACCAGCCCAGTGACTGCTCTGGGCCCTGGTGAACCCCGCCCCCTGCAGGGTCCCGCTAGACTCACGCCCTGTCGCTGGCTTCAAACTGTTAATAATTTCATTCTGCACGTAGCTGGGCCTGGACTCGGCCCCCACTCCCCCGAAGGGCCAGCCAGAGGCCGGGACCCCCAGTTCACCGTGGGGCAGAGCACGCACACGGGAGGGGCCCTGGATGGGGGGGGTTCAAGTACAAAGTGGTCCCAAGGGGTGCTCCTGGGTGGGCCCTGGGGCCTCAGAGAAACCACCTGAAGCCACGGATGACCCTCCTGGGGGGTCGGGGCCAGAGAGCTGGGGACCGAATGCACCCCAGCCAGGCAGACCCAGGACCCGGAGGCCGGGCTGACCACAGCGGGGCGGTGGGCAGGACCGGGAGGGGGTGCTTGCTGCCCCGTCATGGGGGCCGCCCCACCCCACCCTGGGCTGGTCCGGCACCGGGGTTACCTGGAACTTGTCGGGGTCCGCCCCTCCGGCCTGGGCCACAAAGAGGCCGGCGCCGGGCTCCAGCTCCAGGCCCCGCGAGGATCGTGTGAACGCCATCCTCTGGAACTCCTCACAGTCCACGTAGAGCGCCACCGAGCCGCCATCCACGCTGAGCGCAAAGCGGGTCCACTGGCCGACCAGGGCGGGCAGGCGGAAGCTGGCGGCCGTGTGGGTCTGGCCCGCGCCCGGCTCCGTGTAGAGCAGCGTGATGTGCTGGTGTCCGTCCCGCACCTCTGAGAGCTTCACGCCCAGCAAGACCACGGCCTGCGCCGCGTCCGTGACGGCGAACAGCACCCCCGCGTCCTCCGTGGCCGGCCGGACGTGGAACAGCAGCGAGAAGTCTCGGAAGAAGGGGCTGGGGACGTGGTAGCGGGCCACCTGGCCGCTGTTGGCACCTGGCCCGAATGCGTAGGCCAGCCCGACCTCAGGGTCGTCGATCTGGGTGACGTGCTGGGGTGGGGGCTCCCCGAGGAGCTGCAGCAGCCCCACCTCCTCGCCGGCGCTCTCTGCGAAGGGGAGAAGACACCTGGTGAGGCAGCAGGGCAGGCGGGAACCCTGGGGCAGCCTGGGAGACAAGCCAGGCAGGGCACAAAGGGGAAACTGAGTCAGAAGGGCTCGTCATGTGCAGGGCGACCTGCCAGGCCCCTCCGGGCACCCCTCCCCGTGCCCACCCCTCCTGGCTCTCCAGCCCAGACGACGGACGCCCTGTGCAGAGAACCGTCTGCAGGGTCACGGCGGCCACAGGCCGCTCTCCGCCCCTCCGTGAGCTCACGGGCCAAAGCGGGGACACCCCAGAGACGGGCACAGCCCGTGTGGGGACGAGGAGCCAGGGCCCAGCCAGCGTCCCCGTCACAGCAAGGAGCCCGCCATGAGGCCTGGGGACACGCACTCCCCCTCCCGCCCTGGCCACGCAGCAGCACAGGCCACGCCTGTGCCTCGGAAGACACTCCACCCCGGAAAGGAGAGGCGGAGCGGCACTAAGACACTGTGGGACCCGCCTGGGGAGCAGCAGGCGGGGGCAGGTGGCCGCCGGCTCAGCGCCGTCTTCCTCGGGCAGCGATCGGCCGCCGTGGCTCCCAGGTTGACACCTCAGGAATCTCCCGCAAGGTCCCCCGCAAGGTGGCCAGGGGCGCGGCCACGGCCCGTGTCCCAGGTGTGGAGACACAGGCGCCGCTGCTGTCGCTGCCCCTGCCCCCACTGAGGGGCCGCCAGCTTCACGGTTCCCCTTAAACAACCCCAGAGCCGCGGGTGACCCCCCACAAGCCTTCACGCACACCCCTCACTGAGCCCACCCTGCCCTCAAGGGTCCTGGGGTCGCAGGCCGTGCGCTCTCAGGTGACACCACACCACTGGGAGCCTCTCTGCCGCACGAGCAAGGCTAGGGCACCCGGAGCGCTCACCCCTCATTTCCGGCCTTCCCGGGAGACTGGTGGCCGCCGTAGCGGGACACGGGCCTGCTGTTCGTGGCACCTCCGGGGGGCCTGAGCCGACTCCCCAGGGCCGAGGTGCGGGGGGCAGGGCCCACCTGTGTCGGGGACCGCGTTCACTGCGAGACTCGAGAGGGGCAGGAACCCACTCAAGGAGGGACCTCGTTCACGGACGCCGTCCCCGCACCCACTGCGCGGGCAGAGCGCAGACACGGGGCCACAGTCCGGGCCAAGGCACCCGCCCAAGGCCTTCCTCCCAGGACCCCTGCCGTCTGGACGGGGTCTGCTTCCAACAGAAATCGTGACAGTCGCACGGGACCCTGCGCACAGCGGGGCTCGGCGGTGGGCTCCTGCCGAGAGCTCTTCGGGGAAGGGGCTGCTGACGTGTGGGCGTCCTGGGGAAGCGGGGACAGAGGCCGGGGCGAGCGTGTGCCGGCCTGGGGCTCCCCGGGGCAGCGAAGGGAAGAACCGCGGCGCCTCGATTTCACAGGGCAAGCTGTAGCTCTCAAAGAATTCGCTGAGAACAAAAAATGGAAACAGGGAAGAGACCGGAGCCACCCAGACCTGCGTGTGCTGGGGCCTCACTGCTCTGCGCGTCCCGACTTCTGGCCCCGTGGGCAGCGCCACCCGGCACAGAGTGGACGACAGCCGCCGTGGGACAATGGGGCCTGGCTCTGCGCCTGTCCCCAAGCGCCAAGGGCGCAGGGGGCCCGGCAGGCCGACCCTGGGCTCTCGGAGGTCAGAGGGTGCGAAGACAACGATTGCTTTGTCTCAGAGGTGCCCACGCAGGGGGTGTTCTAAAAGTGAGCGCTCGCCAGCCTGGGAGGGAGCAACCGCCCTGGAGGCCGACCCAGCCGTCCCCAGTTACCCGTGAGAAACCTCCCCGCTGCCCTGCCTCCTGGCAGCTAGAATGTTCCCAAGTTAATTAAGATGCAAGATGCGGCAGCTGCCGCCTTCCTGGGCGGAAGGCACCAGCCAGCGTGCTACGGGGTGGCCCCAGGGCCCCCGGAGACGTGCGAGCGGCTCCCCAGTGTCCCCCACTTTCCCTGGGAAATTCCCACGGTGCTGTCGGTGAAGCTCCGAAGGCCTGGCCCCGAGGTCACTGGCTCTTTTCTCCGGGCGCAGGCGCCACGGGCGGAGGATGTCACGGCCTCCACACCCCTGGGGCGCTCGCCCGCTGATCTCCCTCCAAAAAGCAAAGGCCCCGCTGCGTTCCAGGAGACAGAAAAGGGCCTTCCGGAACTGGCGGGCGGCCCCTTCGGCAAGCTGGGGCTCCTGTCCACCCACCTGCCCAGACCACAGAGCCGGACCCGCCTAGTGAAACCGTTTCCTCTCCAGGAGACACGCCAGCCACGGATGGTTCTGGAACCGGAGGCCCCTCTCAAGCCACGCAGGACAAACTGCACATCCAGCGTCACCCAGCAGGTGCGAGGCCCCGGTGGCTGGTCGGGGAGACCTCCCAGGTGTCCTCTCACAGCCGCTGACGAGGTTCCCACCGCGCAGCGTGGCCTCCCCTCCCCCCTCGGGTCCGTCGTTCCCACGGAGCCCGTGAAGTCCCTTCTGCGGCGAGCCGCCTCCGGGCGAAGCACGACCTGCGCACGCCTTCCCTCCCGCCCCCGCCCCGACGGCCCAGGCGGACCATGCAGCCTCTGTGGGCCCCACCCCGGTAGGTAGCAGAACTTTTGAAATAGCCATTATTTTAAGAATTACCTCACCATTATTTCACCATTTTTAAGGACTGTAGCACTTTTCACCATCATTTTAACATGATTTGTTTCATCAGCTCAGACCCTAAAATGGTTTTAGCAGGCAAATCAGCTCACTGGGTCCTTGGCCCTTACTCGAAGAATCCAGTAACGAGCAAGGGCAGGGCTCAGCTGGAAAACACCCGCGTGGCGGCTGGAGTCGCGGCTTTGCGTGAACACCCGGGGATGAGCCTCCCTCCCTCCCCACCCAGGCTCCGACCCAGGGCAGCTCCACCACGGGGAAGATGGTCCCCAGCTAGGCACCGCCTCTGCTGCGCCACACCGAGTACCGTGCCCTGAGTACCCCACACCGAGCACCCCACACTGAGCACCCCGCGCCGAGCACCCCGCACCCCGACAGCCCTGCAGAAACAGGCAGAGCCCCACAGAGGCCCACCCAGCGCCCAAGTGCCCCAGCCACTCCCCAGAGCCCGCCTACCTGGCCCGACTGCCCAGGGACGTGACCTGGAGTCCTGGTGACCCTGAGGGCCCCGCCGAGGGCTGCTGACCACCCATCCCCCCTCCCGCGCGGGGCTCCCGCCTCTGCTCCTGCGCCGGGTCCTGCCCGGTGGATTTCCAGTCATCAGGCAACTTCCC